ATAATCGTGAATGTTCGGCCAGCTTGCGTGCACCTCGAATAATCCCACGGGGTCTTAAAGTTTACGGTCGGGTATTCACCCCAATCAGTGGCCTTGAGGGGAACTTAAGTATGATAATATAGACTACCAAACCTAGACACAACAATTTCTATTCTAGTTTTCCCTTCCCAAATTCATCGGGAATGCAAAACTAATGACAGTGTGCACGCTGTTTATGGTCTCTTTAGTTAAGAGTATGTATGATCCTCGTGTATGCAAACCAAGATGGATCTTGGTATCGACTGTTTGACAACAAAAAGTAGTCAAGTGTGTCAAAATAACAAACAAAACAACAGTAGTCCAAGACAAACAATTTTAAATCTTTAATTTTCAGCACAACATAATTACTGTTTCATAAAAGAAAGCCAAGGAAACAAAAAAAAAAAAAAACTGTCCACTCGCAAGGTCTATTAAGAAAATATTAACCTCAACTGTTTCAGCTCGGTGTAATTGAATCATATAATGTCTGGGTTAAAAACAAAAATACCATGAATATTAACTAATCATTGAGATTATTGAATAATGCCCTCTAACATCAATCGGAAAACAACAAACGATCAAACAATTACATGAATCCGAAGAACCCAGCTACTAACAAAAAAATAGATCAGAAAGGAGCACTGAAGCACATACCAGGAGCAATCTGAAAAAGGGTTTGTGGTGTAGGACAATCACATAAGCAGGGAGGGCAAGAAGATGAAATTCCTTTTAATTTGAGGCCCTTCTTGAATTTCCAATACAAAGCCGGCCCAGATACGCAGAGTGCCGACACTACTGCGAATATCACCAAACAACACCTCAAGCAAGTCGCAGATCTCCTACTCATCTCTCTAAAGAAAGAGATCTAACAGTGGCGCATTAGACGGGAGATTGGGATCTGTTTTATGTGTTGGAATTCTGAACGGGAGAATCAAGTGTTTCAATTAAAATGGGGATTAAATCCATAGCTGCCCAAGTTTATATCAGTGCCATCTCGACCACTTAATTTAACTGTATTCCATCGTAACCACTTAATTTTAGGATAATTAGTACAGTTCCCAATTTTTATCGTGGAACATTTCATTGCGTAAAATGTTATTTCACACATTTTTTTAATTAAAAATTATGAAATGACGAATACACCCCTCTTTAAATAAAGCAAACAAAAAAAGGAAAAAAAAAACTAATTACAATCACAATTCAAATTTTTTTAAAAAGCACAAATAAGTCACAAATAAATTATATGCTAATTACCCTTTAATTTTATATTTAGGCCCTGTTTGGTACACATTATTTTTTCATTCTCATTCTTCTACTCATTTTCAACCACACATTCTTCAATAAAATAATATTTTCCATCACATCAATAACTTTTCGTTCATTTTTAACTACACATTCTCTATCAATCTATTNATCTACTATTCAATAATACATTCTTTTAAAAGAATGTGTCTCAAACACACTCTTAGTCTCGTCATGTCCACTCAATTTAATTTAATTTTACAATGATCATCCAATATTATATAACTTTTTACCATAATCATCCAATTTTATATAACATTTCAGCAATGTCACTCAACTTCTTTTTACAATTTTCATTATTTTTAAAATGGATAAAATAGTAACTTTACATTATATATAAAATAAATTTTTAAAAAATATTTTTTTATTTTAAAAAAATGTTTATTTTAAAATAAATATTTATTTTCTTTTATTTTTTTAAGTAACGTTTTTAAAAATAATTTTTTATTTTATTTTAAAAAGTTTTTTAAAATAAGTTTTTATTTTATTTTATTTTATTTTTTAAGGAATATTTTTTTAAAAACTTTTTTTCAAATAAGTTTTTATTTTATTTAAAAAACATTTTTTTAAAATAAGTTTTTATTTTATTTTAAAAACTTTTTTAAAAATAATTTTTTATTTTATTTTTCTATGTAACTTTTTTTTAAAATAAGTTTTTATTTTATTTTTTTAACTAACATTTTTTTAAAATAAGTTTTTATTTTATTTTTTTAAGTACTTTTTTTTAGATAAGTTTTTATTTTATTTTTTAAATTTATTTTATATATATAATGGAAATTATCGTTTTACCCCTTTTATTAATGAAAATGGTGAAAAAAAGTTGGATGACCATGATAAAATAAAATAAAATTAGATGACCATGGTGACACTAAGTATAAAATTGGGTGATCATGGTGAAACAAAATCAAATGGCTGGCCAGGTGATACTAAGTATAAAGTTGGGTGGTTATTGATAAATTTAACTTGTTAAAATGTGATTTGTTGTCATAGGCCACATTTGTTCGAAAGAAGGAAATATGGATCAGGGGTGGCAAATGAGCCAAGTCACTATTCAACTCGCGGGCTCGGCCCATCTCACTCGGCACATGGAAAGCTCGGGTTTACTTTGAGATGATCTCTGGGTCTAGTCAAGCTCACTTATTTTTCCATGAGCCAACTCCTAGACTAGCTCGTTTGTTTTGCCCTTTTTGACTCATTTTATTAGTTTTTTTTTTTTTTGGGCTTATTTTTCGATTTATTTTATCAATCAAAGAAAATTAACCGGCTCGTGAGGTCTACTAGCGTTTGGATCAATTCGAGCCCATATATTCTATAGCTGGCTCGACTTGGCCTGGCCCAGCACTTTTCCACTCATAAATGAGAACACAAGGTGTCACATATCTTGGGAGGGCAATCGAATGGCTGATTCTTGAGCCCAACACTCGGTGGACTTGCAGGCTTATACTTGGTGGAACTCTTCCCCCTTTTGTTCTAGTTTTGCATCTTAAGATATGTTGGGATGATGTAATGGTTCAGTTAGTTTCGATTAGCGTCGGCTTGTAAACATGTTCATAGACGATATTTTTCATTTATCTTAATAAGCATTTTGGGGCAAATGATAAGGTGCTACAAAAGTACAAACATATTTAGGACGTGTTCGGTAGAGATTAAAATCGAATTAAAATTGAAAAACTAGTCATTATTGTTGACTTTTATTAGACGAGTGAGATCCAATAACGACTATATTTCAATTTTAATTGGATTTTAAGTTTAGCCAAACATGCTTTTAGTATGTTCCGATGCGCCCCTTGATCTCTCACACCAACTGGATGTGGTTAAGAAAAAAGATTTAAATAATAATAGTTGCATTATTATCAGTCCTTGCAAATTTTTAAGATGAATGTTAATGACTCTTATTATATTGTTAGTCATATGAGTTCAAGTGAGACTAGATTGATGATAAGTGTGATTTTACTCTTAACGTGGGGTTGAAAATACGAGAATAGACTTATATGAAAGTATAGTTTATTCTTCATCATCTCATATATATATATATATATATATCACATACGCGCACACATAGAGCTCTACTCATTTGATGTATTTATTTCCATTTCTCAATTTTACTCATCAAATCTCATGTCTGTTGAAGTCGTCTTTTCAAGTTAAAGGTCTTCACACTGGGGCACATTGTCGCACGTCTTATTCAATGACCAACAAGCCCTTATTTGGCTTTCATTTTCAAAATCTCATATTTTTTTTTCAAACTTATTTTCAACTACGCATTTCATAGGAGCCACAACTTTTATCAAAATCTACTAAAAAAAACTAATTTTAATCAATTAATCTCAACCAAACAGGGACTAAATACTTTGTTTCCATTCTTAGAAGACTCCATTGTATATATTGCCAAATCAGAGAGGCTTAGCTTAAACAGAACAAGTAACAATGCCAACGAGTTTCAAGCAAAATATGCCAACTGTAACATCAACTGTGGCACCACAAGATTAATTAGATCAAGGAATCTGTATGAAAAGTTGTTTATACTATATATAAGCTCTTCGGGGACAAATATTAGGGCCTCTTTGGCATGGACTTTAAAAAGCCAAAATGTGCTTTTGAGACCCAAAAGTTTCTTTTGAACTCGTCTGACTAATTTTATGAAAATGCTTCTAATAGTTAAAAGAGCTTTTAACTTCTAAAAGCACTTCAGAAAATGGGAAGTAATTTTAAAAATTAGTTTTAGAATAAAAATTAAGGTATTTTCTTCTAAAAGCTCTTCTACATGAAACAAAAGTAAAAGTCATGTCAAACGAGTTCTCGGCGTGGTTGTACAAATATATCAGGAGTTTTCTCCTGAGGAGCTCTGATACTTTTCATAATATCATAACCTTACGTGCGAACCAATCAATAGAACCTCAATGATATATGGATGAACAATAAAATTTTGATGTCATTTGCCTATCAATTTTTATTCTAGTTTATCCAATTTCAAGCTCTGTGGCATACGTAACAAAACAATTTAGCAAAGAAGATGTGTATAAGCAAATTCAGGACTTTCTCAAGCCAATGCAAAAACTCGCAAATTATTTCAACTGACATGCTTTCATATTAGAATAAATGAAGCAAGATTGAAAACTAACCACTGCAGGGAATAAATGCTTTTAAAACCAAAAAAATGGTAATAAATGAGCTATCCTTACGCAGAGCTCTCTCAAAACATCATGGATGCCGCAGGCGTTTACTTTCCTATTAGATCTTTTGGTAGTCAATATGGTTCGACTTCCATTGTCGTGATTCGGAGATAGATGTTCTGCTAATTTTTTGTTACTTTCTCGACGTTCTTCATTAGTAAGAACAACAATGTCGTCTTGAAGGTTTAGAAGAATGTCCGGCATACGATAATTTTGAGATAGAGTTGCACAAGCACGGACATATATAAAAGTGATATGCCACAAATGAATCATAAAAAAATTCAAAAGCCCGGGTAGTCTTGCCACAACCGCCCTTCCCAACAATGGGAATGATTTGTAGGCTAGATTGTTGTTCATTACACAATCTTTCATATGCATCAAGTCTTCGTCAAATCCCACCATAGTACTCTTTTTCTCTAGGGGCAGGAGTTGAAGGCAAAAAAATTCTTTGGCTGCAGATTTGTACGATTCTCTCGACCTTAATCTTCAACACAACTTTCGGGATAAATTGATTTCCTTTTTTATTCTATGCAAATCTGTATGATGCTTGATAGTGTTTTCATATTTGGTAGAAAAAAATGTAGTTTTTTGAAACGATGCTTTTCTCCACGAGTTACATATTTTGAAAGAAGATGCTCGAATATTGGTTTCCTCTGCATCATATACATCACTCCTGGTTTTTCTTTCCAGTGATTCCACTTCTTCTCGGATATTGTCGTAAAGCTCAAGGGGTGTCTATTTAATTACAAAAAACATGATTTTTCAAGATATGACATGCACAGTTCTGTTGTAATTGCCTCTACCATCAGTTGGAAAACACCAATAGTTACTCGACTTTGCCTAAATTTCATGTAACTCACGGAACTTCATTTTGGTCCCATCTTAATTACTTTTTAGTTTTTTTCACCCACACACAAAGACCCTAACTATTTTTCTTTCAGTAAGAAAAATACATCAGAATTTGGAAAACGAATAATCAGCCCTTTTGCAGGTTCGCAATAGCTATCCACTTATTATCCACATATTTCGTGGGACCCATTACTCCTCTCGGTAAACCCGAACTCACACTAAATTTGACATGACATTATGGGGGAAAAAAAAAAAAGGTAGCAGCATTCAACTTTATGGAAAGTAACAGAGCACAAGAAATGAAGGAAAAGTTATCATCTGTGATAATTTTACAGTCTTTGTATGATAAAGAAAATAAATAGTTTTTCAAACACGAAAAGTATTTGTAACAGAGAACAAGAGAACATCTGATACATTTATACAGTACATGCTATCCTAAGAACTAGATTCTGCATCCCTTGTAAAATCTTCTCAGCATAGATGCCTGCATGAGGATTGTCAACAGTTGAGACACCAACCTAAAACCATAAACGAGGAAACCTCAATTAGTTCTGAAGCACGTCAGAAATTAAAAACAACTCAGTCCGACAGTGTCCTTGTCGGTGCATCATACGTAGACCATACCCCCTTCATTTAATGTACTTGTAAATAAAGGAAAATAATCCAATTTTGAAAGAGAAGATTATACTACAGCGACACATTTAAGTAGAGTAAACAAACGATTGAGTACATCACATGACTAAGATTTCTGCAAGAAGAACAGACCACAAAAAAAGAATGAAATTAAACTCTTGTATTTGTCTTGTTCGATATTGTCCAATACGGCCCGAAAAACTTTTATGCTTTTTGCCTATCAATATTTATTCTTGCTTATAGAATTTCAAACTTTATGGCATACATAACAAAACAATTTTAGCAAAGAAGATGTGTATAATCAAATATTAGGACTTTCTCAAGCCAATGAGAGAAGTCGTTAAATTATTCCAAACTGGCAAATAAATGATGCAAAAATGTATACTAACTACTGTAGGAAAGACAAGCTCTTAAAACTAAAAAATTGTAATAAATGACAAAATAAACCTTGAACATGAAACATATCAAAATTCTATGGCAATGCTTGAGTAACAAATAGATAGTGAAATGCTCTTTAAATTTGAGATGCCACTTCAAATTTCACCTCACACAGTTTCTCCAGAAAAGAAGGTACAAACAAGTAAAAATTGGTGAAGGAACATCAAGGCTAAATGTTGGAATAAAACAAATTACACATTCTGGCAAATGACACATATGTACCTCAACTTTCAGCTGGAGCCTCAGCATCTGAAGTAGAGTTCCGTTCCCCACCAAAGTGCAAGTCTCTACTCTGGTCTGGAGGAATCCATGATATGGGAGTGGCAGCAACTGACATAAAAGCTATTCAAATCAGTCCTAACTTCATTGACTATGTAGAAACAAAAATGTGCAGAGAATAATTAAGGAAATATGTTAACACAAAGACTCTCAGTATCAAAGCAAAAATGGATCTAATTAGAAATCTTAGCCTCCCTTTGTAAAGAATTTATAAAAAATTTAATTTATAAATAGATAGAAAAGAATAGCAAATAAGTCAATAGTACTTGTGGCCGTGCGTTCATTGACACGTGTAGTTGAAAATGAAGTTTGACTAAATTGTAAATGATTTATAAATTAGCCAAATAGAGGCTTAGTAAGTCAACATCAATCATCAAACCTGGCACCACAGCACCACTCGTGTCATTCAAAGTAGCAGACAGAGTACGACGTTTTCGCACATAATTTTCCTCTAACGGTTCAGGAATTTGAAACGAGAACTGTGACAATGTTACACCCGGCTCTGAATGCTCATACAGGTAACTGGAAAGAGAAAACATCATAAAAGACTCAAAACAAACAGAGAAAATATAAGATTTTGAAACTAACCAAAAGTAAATATAAGATTCTGGAAGTTAAAATACAGATCCTCCAGCAATTATTTATTGGGAAGTGCTACAAGTACATTAGGGGTGCCATGTGTCCATTATGGACACCATTATGGCACCCCTAATTTACAAGAAGAATTATCCTTATTTATTTGTTTACATTGAGGCAACCCTTGTTAATGACTAAAGAGAGAAGTTACCTCTGAACTTCCTGCATTGATCGTAATCGTTTCCCTGATGGTGCATCATAGTAACTGGTAAGAAACATGTTACGTCCATTTGAAGTCAGAATGAAATTTTCACTTCTCAAACCCTTAAAATAAATTATAAATGAACTAGCGAATTAAATGGAATGGAAGACGTACAGATCAGCAAATTTTGTGCCTCCTCTAGCCCTAATTCGTAAAATTCGTTGCCAACCAGAAGGAGGCTGAGGAATACAGGGTTTGTCTATTGCCCAATTCCAGCTGCCATCTCGTACAAGATCTGGTTCCTCTTCACAGGTAATGTCAGGTCGCCATTCACGAGCTGTTTCACAAACGAAGGGCAGCTCTGCTATCGTTTCTCGTATCTCCTCATACTTCGCTTTTGTTGGGATGAACCTCCATTTGGAACATTTGGCACACTGAACAGTATAAGCAGATACATTATCTGACACTCTTTTTGATTTCTTGTTTGAAGAGGAGGGACAAGGGATATTTCCGGTTCCGGTGGCAGCATTTAATGCACTTCCTTCCATTTCCTTAACAACTGCATGATCAAAAGGAACACTTTTTCTCAAGTTTATTTATTTTCTCGAGGATTCATGCCCAATATTTACCAAAATTAAGCCAAACAAAAACTCAAATCACAAGCCAAAAGTGACGGTTCATCCGATAATCCTATCTAAGAGACTTACAAAAACTTTAAGCTAGATGAAGCAAAAGCATATAACTTAATTTCAAAACTTGTTATGAGCTAGTGTCAATGTAGAAAGAACCCAACACGCGAACAGCCCAAGGAGGACTATTGATTGCAACCACATGTCATTGGAATTTATATTTCAAAAGAGATGATAATCGTAAAGTTTTATTCTAGAGAAAGTGAATCGGACTATAAGTAGCTTTATTTTTTCATTTTTCTTCATCGAGTTATAAATAAAAAATTATCAACATTAAGTAATCTCATAAATAAAAGTCGAGTCAAAATTAACGAGTGTTCTATTTCATATCTATGCTGCATAAAGGCAGATATGTCAACACACATACGACGAAAAGGGAAAACAGAACACAACATTTCTAGAAAAACATAAGACATGTGTCTGCTAGGTCCTGTCAATTAATATATTAACCAAAATACATATTTGATAGGCTTGTAGCAAAAACAACAAATGAATAAAATTCAGAAGCAAATATCTAATAAAGTCTCAAATAGTATAATCTATATATTTCAAAGTGAATCATAAAGACGAATCTAATAAGTCTAATCAATGAAAAATAATAAGCTAAGCTATGTTTCTCATCAACTTGACAGTGTCACAATGCACAGAATATGGTATGTGAACGATCTCCAATCTTTGCTGGGCATGCTTTACATGTAAGTTATGTGTTTGGATTGTCAAACGTGTAATGTCATATACGATTGTTAGACAAGGAAAGGATACATTTCTACAAGTTACGTTCTACATACGTTCATATATTGAGACAGAAAGAACAATGGCATATACTATAAATTTCTATATCATGAAAATCAAATAAAAAGCACTTACATGATACAAATTGATATTATCTTAGACTTGACCTATATAGAAAATCATGGAGTAAACAAAACTTAGAATCCTTTTTTATTGATGCCACTTTTCCATTTTTCCGCCAAATCACATTGAATTCTAACCTAATATACCCATGCAGAAACAGAAGTACCAATCTCAAACATTTTTTTTATTATTAAATTAAGAATTAAGATTTCATTATTCCAACAATTTCACTACGAGTGGAAACAGTTGAGATTATAAGCATAAATTAGAAACGCAAAAACGACCTTCAAAAACCCAACATTCAATACATTGCACATTAGTAAAAGGGCAAAATTTATTTTTGCAAAAGGCTAAAATTACATTATTTATCTCATAGCACGGTTTTTGCATCATTCCAACCGATAAAAAGAGCAAAATGGACAAAAATGAACGTTGTGAACTTCATGAATCTTAGATGAAAGTTACTTTTTAGATGAAATTATAAGTAAATTTCTAGATTCTTAAACCAACCCCAAACATAAAGCTGCTTTCAAGACAAACAAGGGTCACAGTTCACTGCCATGCAGTACTTGGCCCAAATGGCAAATTTGTGACAAATAAGATACACTCAGATTTTAGCCTAGACATGGAAGCATCGCGAACGGAGACACAGAATATACAAATACAGACGGAAAGAAATGGAAAAACTTGCAGGCAAATAACTCATATCAGGAGGATAAAGCACAAAAATATAAAAATCTGCTGTCTGAAGAATAAAAAAATTATTAAAAAAACTAAAGGAAAATCAAAAGAGAAATTCAGAATTTTCAATTCCTTCCCTTTTTAATGCCGAAAGAAAAGCATGCAGATTAATTAAAACCATGTTTAAAATCGTCAAGAAAATCATGATCATCGACCCAACACAAAAATTCACCGGCATGCATATCTATGTTTGAATGTTCTATGATTTATAAACAATTCAATTGAATAAAATCTTGATTCACAGATCCACTCACCAAATTCAATTAAAACAAGTTAGAACACATATACAAGAACTATACATGCTAGAACTGTGAATGCGTATGAGAGAGGATCAATTACCGATGAATCCACTGTCGAATATTTGTTCTGGTACGGTGGCTGAGTGAGAGTGAAGCAAAGCGAGGGCTTGGGGGGAGAATATAGAGTAAGGTGACTGATACAGTGGGTATAAAAAGGATTATATGTGGATTTCCCAAATTGGATAAAAATATAGACAAAGAACAAAATAGGTTATTTAATAGATAATAAATATTAAGAGTTAAAGTTACACAAAAACATTTTTCTTGTGAAAACAGGTTATTTTCCTTAATAATCGGTCCAAACATAATACTTCGCCAAACAAAAAGTAAAAGGTCAAACAAAAGTCAAATGAGGAGTAAAAATAAATATATAAAAGCAATTTTATTATTATTATTATTGAATCGATTGGTGTTGGTTGTGAATCCGTTGATTTTTGGACTAAACTAGTTCTTAACTGGTTTTATTGAATTATAATGTTTCACTTTTTTGGTTTTCGATTTTTTTTTTTTACGGAACCAGCCAATTTATCGTGTTCTAATTGCAAAAATCTTATATTATTGTAAATAGTTTTTTGCTCATTGTATGGCATCCTCATAAATATTGTGAATAGATGTAAAAAGTTCATCTCTATTAGGAATTTTAACAATGAATAATAAAAATTGTAGACAATTAATCGTTTAAAAAAAATTATTTCCAAATATATAAATGCTCAAATTTCATTTGTTACATGATAGTTTCATGTGATGACATCATAATATTAATTTAATAATTAATATCAAATTTTTGAGTCATATTTACCGGTCCACTAAAAAATCATTAGAGGTCATGATTGTTCCTCTTAAATAGGTTACATATTCAATTTTGTAAATGTATGTTTTTCGACTTTTTCTCTTTCATTCTCAAGGCACCGAGATGTTCACGAATAATTTGACCTAAAGTTCCAAAATGAATAATAAAAAGTGTAGAGCAAATGAGACATGTTACGTACACCCATGTTATCAATATGCCCTTCAAAGCTCATAACAGGTAAGCTCTTGATAAAGGAGTCAGCAAGATTTTTAATAGATGCTATCATACACACCGTCACATTTCCTTGTTGAATGATTTCACCAACGAGATGATATTTTCATTCAATGTGCTTTCCATGTTGATAACTTGTTGGTTCCTTTGCATTTGTTACAGCTCCATTGTTATCACAATACAAAGTAATGGGACGTGATGCTGAAGGAATCAACTTAGGTCTTGTAAAAAAAATTTTAGCCATACCGCTCCCTTTGCCACTTCACAAGTAATTGAGACATAGGGTTGTTTGACACTCCTTGAAAAAATGGCTCCACCCAATGTGAACACCAAGCTTGAAGTGGACTTGCAAGAGTCCATAGTAGCTTGAAAATCAGAATCAGGATAACCTATAGGGACCAAATCTAGAGTCGAATAAACCAGCACATGATTTCTAGTACTACAAAGACACTTGAGTAGATGCATGACATCTGCCTAGTGCTTTAAGTCCTGGATTGGACTAATATCTAGTGACAATCCTAACAACATAGTAAATATTTGTTTGTGTACATAACTTCGTGTACATGAGGCTTTCTACAACCGAGGAATAAGGAACCTACTTCATATAGTCAACATCACTAGGAGTTTTAGGAGGAGTTTTAGGACAATGTTCCCGTGATAACTGAATTACATATTTGAAAGGCATTTGACCTTTATTCTAATTTTGCACAGCAAACTTGACCGGTACTTTGTCTATATACGAAGTTTGGGAAATTGCAGTTATTTTGTTCTTCCTATTCCGAAAAATCTGGACTCCTAGAATATAATTAGCATCTCCCAAGTCCTCATTTCTAAATGTTGTTCCAACCAATTTTTTTAACTCAATGTCAATGCTCCACATCATTCCCAATGAGCAAGACATCAATGTAGAGCAGAGAAAAATAACCTTGTCATCCATAATATGCTTATAGGCACAAGGCTTATCTAGGTTCTAATCCAAACCATAAATCGTAGTAGTTTGATCAAAGCCTGCAAGACTAGATGCATGCTTCAGTCCATAAATGGACCTCTTTAGTTTGCATATTTTATGCTCCTGACCCTTTCAAATAAAATCGTCTGGATGCATCACATATATTCTTTCGTCAAGCTTCTCATTAAGGAATGCAGTCTTACTATCGATTTGCCTCACTTTATATTCAAAATGAGCTGCAATAAATAATGGATATGGAAATTCATATAGACTTAAAAATTGCCACATGCGGGAAGATTTCCTTATAATCACGCCTTCTCATTGGGTAGAACTTTAATGACCAATCTAATTTTAAAGGTCTCCACCTTTCTGTCTACACCTCTTTTTCTCTTGTAGACCCGTTTGCATCCTATGAGTTCTAACCCATTTGATGCATCTACAAGATCCTAGAATGAGTTAGTGTACTTAGATTTCATTTATGAATATATGGTACTCCTCCGATGGCCACAGTCTATATCCTCCATAGCTTTTTTAAACAAAGTGAGATCCTTCTCTTGCTTAGTAGAGACTGCCTCGAAAGACCGTCTACAAAGTAAGTATTTAAAGGTAATCGAGTGGTTCTCACATAATGTCAAAATAGTAGAAGTTTTTGATTGATTGAAATTTATAATTGTTCTCTCACTCCTCATCTTGGATCATATCTCTTTACTTTAGTCTCCACCATGCGGGAATTGAACAGTTGGAACTTGATCCTCTGTCACCTCTTGTGCTGACAAGTCAATGGGATGGCAGTTGAGACCTGCCTTTGTCTTCCATTATGCCTGGGCACCATTGGCGAAGGAGGCGTGAATTCCTCTCAGTGTGGATATGTTTTCCCTTATTTCATCCAAAAGAACCTTGTTATTGAATTCATGCTCTTCTATATACTTACACTTTAAGAAGATTAAATTTGTAATTATTATCTTCTCGTCCAAGGACTATAGAAGTAATATCA